TTTGATCATTAAAACCATCACAGTAGCATTGATAAGCTCTTTGAATTAGTTTGTTTAATTAATTTTCACAGACCACAGAATCAAGTGAATGGAAGTTGATGAACCACAGCCAAAGCAAATGCTCATTCCGCATCACCTGAAAGCTGAAGTCAAGAATTAAAGAAGTGCTTCTTGGTCGAAGTCATGTTCTCCCATTTATTTTTTTTTGTAAAAAGACAATAATATATTAAGTACTTTTAATAGAGCAAAAACCATTGAGAAATTAGTAAGATGTGAAACATTGAGTGGTGGAATTACTTGAGGCTGCTATTGCAAATCAGGATGAAGCCTTGTCACTACATGGGGGATAAGGATCTGGTGACAATTGGCCATATTATAGGCCATGGATAGAAGCATGAATCAATTGAAAGTACAGTAATGTAGTCCTATCAGATTGGAACTGTATACTGTTTGTATGAATGTTGTTATCTATTTGATATGATATCATACCATACACTGTGTTGAGAAATATTACCAGATATTATTAAGGTTTTTCCTTGTATGAACATTTATCAACAACACATTTATTTTCTTTATAAAAATTTGCATTGACTTTTTGAATGGCATTGTATTGTATTTTACAATATATGAAAAGAAGAAAATAACAGAACAGTACTTGCTGATAAATGATAATGAATACAGCAAAACTTTCATTATTTCTAGTTTCTTTTAAATTGTTTATGCTGGTTGGCTACATTGATAATATTATATTTAACACATGTTTATAAGTGGATTGGATTGAACTCTATATTCAGCTATGTTTAAAGCAGTTCTATGTAGGTATATGCTACAGTGTTTCAATAATATTCATATAAAAGTTCAGATTTTTGTCATAAACTTCATTCAACCTTGTGTTTACTGTTGTGTAGCTAAATGTATATACCCAGTGAGTGATCAGAGAGATAATGAAAGTGCTGATGGGATGCAACTGGCTGAACTGAGGTATATTAAAGATTTATTTGTTTCACCTTATTAGAATCATGTAATTGCTTTACTTTTATTCATTAATTCAGTCCATATTATCAAGGTCTTCAAGCAGTTAAACAAAAATCAACAGGCATGGCAAGAAATACTGAATAATGTTATTTATTTACATTGCATGCAAATAAAAACATTTGAAATTTTACATCAGCCTCAATGTGTTCTTAATTATTTTTTGAAGTAATTCAGCCTCAGTTTTCTTTTAAAATGTACATTTTTTAATTATACAATTTTAATTATAGAAAAAAAAAAAAGCGATTCCAAATAGAATCAAAATATATTATATATTTACAGGAATTTCCTGTCTCATTCAAAGTCGATGAACATTACTTCTTGCCCTTCCTACTATGCATATGTAGGCCTCGATAAGTAATACAATACACATTCAGTACAGCACGGTCGACTTTGGCTTAAAAAACTACGGTATGACAGTCGACAGGACGGGAAATGCAATTTACTACCTCTAAAATCTTACAACTATTACCAATGCATTTTATTTAAAGGCTGGTATACTTATATCATATTGAAATATTCCACTAAAACCGGAGAACTTTCGTCCAAATTGCTACACATTGTCACTTTCCTCGCGACATTGTTTACGTTACTTACCGAGTTTACAAGAACGTTTGTGATTGGCTAATAGCGTCTCATCAATGCTTAACAGGTATGGTAAGTGTGCTGTGATTGGGTACTGCTTTCGTGAACGACATTATTTTTTTGAAGATAAATTCTCATTTTTGGTTACAGTTTCCCCAAATTTACGATTGCCGACAATTATATTATGTTTCAATAAAATAGTATTGACATTTTTGTGCGAATGCCAAGTAGCGCGGATCGGTGGGTCACAGAATTCGTAAACTAAGCCGATTTTGGAGCCTCAACCCACGGTCTACTCTAGATGGCCGGAAATTGCACAGCTCTCAGACTTAAAATTTGAATATTATAGTTTTCATTATATCTCCATTAAAAATACAATGAACAATTTAGGCCCTAATACCCAATGAATTATCTTTCATGAGGGCAATGCCGTAGCCAGCTAATTGAGACAGTTCCACACTATTTTCTATTGGGTAATCAAAGAATGGGTCCACATTTTAAAAATGGGTCCAGATTTCTCATATTTTTGTGTAACATGGGACAACTTTTAAGAACATAGGTCCACATTAAATTTACGCGTAAAGTGTGTCCACCCACCCTGATATTGTCCCACACTGTTTGAAAATCCTGGCCACGGCATTGCATGAGGGGTATATTTGATACCGGTATGTTTATTCCCCGAACGAAACCTTCACTTTACCCCGATGGATACAAATTACCCTTTTATACAAGCCCGGAAACGATACTCAACTACGGTATATGGCGGGTCCAGGAAGTCGAAATAGAGAGGACCCAGGGAGGGTTGCGCATGGAGTGTCCACCCACCTCAACCCCACAATTAATACGGTAGTATATTATAAATAGATTTTATTATAACTGTATAACAGTTAGACCGCATGTCATGCATGCATAATAATATGCCAAATAAATATTAATAAAATTTCAGTTCCTTAACCTTTTTATTTGTCAATTATAAGTGTTGGACATCAACCATCTATAATTTCCATTTTTTACTTGCCTGCCTACCTCCCCCCACCCCACTCCCCACTACCATTGCCAACCATATTAAAGTTCATTCAGTAAAATTCAGTCATGGCTATCGGTATTTCCTTTGAGTTATAATCAGCTGTACACTGAGTAAAAACAAACAAGATTTCTTTATCCAGATATTCGATCGATAGCAGTAGCCAATTTAGGGGGTGGGGGCCTTTTTAAAATTTCAAAAAATATTGAGAAAAAAAATAATATATTCAAATTTTGTCTACAGGTGCAGTAATCATACATTTACTTAACTCTACTTCAGCCTTACGTGGTTGGGACTGAGGTAAAAAAGAAATATAAAATAGTACCTAGATGGGAAGACACTTTTATATACAGTAGTAAAATTCATCATCACATCACCAGGCAAAATAAAGCGTCAACAAATTTTTCATGATCTCTTATTAACGATTTTCGGCAAACATAGAGATCAAATTAATACTGTACATATGATGTAAAATTAATTATCATTGATCGTATGTTTTTTTGTTGTTTATGTACTTTTGTTGCCATGAGAAAAACTAATTTCATATTTTTTGACAATAAACCTGTCTTGTATATCTAATATGAATCGCTGCGATAGAAATATAACAACATAATTGTCTTCGATTTATCTACTTCATGAGCCGAAAACCAATTTATCTTTACACACTTTTTATCATACTTGTATAATAAAGGCACGCACTCGATTCGTGTATGACAGTTAATTCAGACGTTTGTGGACAGAAAACACCGACCGGAATCTTGTTATAAAATAAGATATTATCTGCCTGTAAAGTGGTCTTTCGTTAAAATCTGGTCATTTATGCAGTTCAATTCTACAATTTCCAGGAATATTCTTGACTTCCTTAGGAACGTGATGGGGACCACCCCCTTAAAATAATTGGGGTACGTGTCGCCTGTCACCCCCGTCCATGCTATTCACCAGAAGACAAGGCATTATACAGTAATTCGGCACCAAATCCTGAATTTACGTGATTTCCAACATTTTTTTTTATATGAAGAGAGTAATAGTAGGCCTATTTCAAATAAATCAATTATCAGTCATTATTATACTTTTTAAAATATCAAAAATTATTTTAAACTATTTGCAAATAAATTTGTTTTATTGTATTAGCTATAAAATTTTAATTGGTGTTTTTAGGTAGGAAAATATAATAATAGGCCTATTCCTATATAGGGCCTATTGATGTAAGATCACATACTTTTTCTTCCGGCTCCTGAGTCTCAGCTGGGTCGGCACACACTGGGCAGGCCTCACTATTTGTCAATTAATCGTACCTATCATTGTATTTAAAATTAAAATTGAATTATTGTTGTAGATCCATCTACCCTCAAATTAAATATTTCAGAGGTTATAATATCTAACAATTTCCGTGTTTACATTCTGAGACGTGACGTACGTACGAACTTGCGTACTTGCGTACGTACGTACGTGTGTTGCGTAAATGAGTACGCGCAGACTGTTGAAGGTATGTTAACCAATCAAAAGCGTCAGCGGCAAATAAAATTAAAGCGCTTCGTAACCAAGGCACAGCACACACATCCTAGGCACGGCGTATAAGCCCAGTGAAATAGTTCAGTTTTCTTTGCTATAAAAACACCTTTCCCGTGGGTATATTTTGGTAAAATTTTTGTATGTTGTAGATATAAAATTTAACTATATATATTCATAAAAAAACGTTTTGTTGCAATTATGTCCAACTTTGGTGCTTCAAATCCGTATTTCTGGTGGACTAAGTGGCTGCGGTAAGAAGAAAATAATTATGATTATGATGGCACCACTAGATGGCCGGAAATGGCACTTTCAGATTAAAAGTGCAATACAATTTTGTCTGTTTTCTCCATTTTTTTTTAAATAATTTAAAAAAAAATACTGTAATAGGTTGGGGGCCTGTGCTGACTGGGCTCTTGAATCTGCCACTGTTCAATATTAACACTTGAAATAGCCTATCATTTTGTTTCACAAATGACTAATTCTTAATGTCATGCGAAAGATTTTTTTTTCGAAATATTTTTTTATTCAATACAATTTTTACAACCTATAACACATTAACTACAGTGTACTATAAATTCTGTAGTTAACCTTCAGACACCTTTATCTTAATAAATGGGCCTAATTAAGTATCTTACTGTTTTCGTTAAATTAGATGGAATTTAAATGTGGTTCTATTAGGCTAGTTTGAAAGTTTACTGTAAGCTAGTCAGTTACACTTACACCTTCATGGTTTACTCAAAGAGAACTAGAGCGTCGCTCTATAAAGTGTGCCTATACCTCCACCAAGCCTAATTACAGGATCCGCGCAAGGCGGGCGATTCCATCCTTTTTTCTTCATGCTCGAGGGTTAGTTTCAAGACAACTTTATAGACGCACGTATATATAGAGGACAATCAACATCTGGTTGCTCAAATCAAAAGGGAACCTCTAATGTTCGTTTGAAAATGAAAAAAAAAATCTAGGCCTATGTTGTATAATAATAATATAGGTCACGGTCGATTTATAAGACGCAAATAATAATACCAATAATGCCAATGTAACGTTCGTAATGTTTGTCACTGGTGATGGGAACAGTCACAAAAGTAGGGGGAGCCCCCAGTAGAAACGGTGGGGGCCAATTCCCCACCCCCGCTTCCACCGCCGTTGCCTACAACTTGGCATGTATGACAGACAGCGAGGGGTTGAAACACCGACCTCGATGTTCCGGGGAAACCAAACCGTTCCCGCGGCGCCAAACCGCTTCACAATGTCTTCAAATCCCTAATAAGTCATCCCATTGATGTGGGGTTATAAAGGTTCATCAAGTGTCCATTCTCCTAACATCCTTCTGTGCACGAGTGTTCTCCTGTCTTACCTCAAAGGTACTGTCTGTCTAAAAGAATCTTAGTAAGTCCCGGGACCGGAAGTTCCTTTCTGCCCTCAGCAAATAAGAATTATAACAAGATGAAAATGTTTATGTAAGTAGTAATTTTATTAATCATTGTGATGCATGTGTAACATTTCTTTTACTATTGGTTATTTATTCGCAACAAGGAAGGAAAATTTCATGTCGTACTTAGGACCTAGCCCTATGTATGCCAATAAATGATCTGTACAGTACCAATTACCTTTCCTCCCCTTCTTTACACACACACACACCCACCCACACACACATACATATACATATACATATACATATATATATACAGGGGTTTATTTAAGAATTTGAGTAGCAGGAGAAATTTGAAAGTAACAGGAGAGTAAATTGAAATAGGCCGGGGTATAGGGGGCCGCCTAGGCCCCCATCGCGGTCCAGGGGCAGAGCCCTGGTCG